TGTTGTAATCGACTGAATATATAATGAATTCCACAATGAAATCAACTTTTGATGAAAATAGTGATAATTGATATACTTAATAACCATAGTGGTATAAAATGATAAAAATTTTTGAGGCATAATTAACAATATCAAGTTACAAGTTACTGTATTCAACCTCCATAATTGGGTAGACCTAATACCAAAATGCCCAAGTTTAATAACAACTAGGATGGAAGCCAATAAAAAAAGAGTGACAAGAGACAAGAGAAATAAAATATATCATGACCCGAAAATATTTTAGGACGCCAATAAATATTGATGGAAGCCACTTATGGACGCTAACAAGATCTTCAATATTTATATCTACGTACTAGTCAAACTGAACCAGAAGTTCACATGATAATCTGCTAAGAAAAGAGTGACTAAGCCCCATATTCATGTTGTGCATATCATTGATGATTTGGTATGCCAGAAGCATACTGTGCCAGAAGCATATAAAGCATGTTATTGTAAAAGATAAAAATCTGCGGCAAACTAAATTCTATATAGAAAGACAGTCACTCCCATAACCTCTGGAAGAGGTTCATCCTGAAGATGGAATCTCCAGAAAAGTTGCACGTGTTTGATAATCACAATACTGGAGATGCGGAATGACCAAATCCAATTGTTAAGGGAAATGACGAGGATTTGGTTGACATAAAATAAGAATTGAAGTGGCCATAAATTTGTAAAAAAAGGAGAAATATATAATAGAAATATAAAAGTCGTCGACAACATAGTTGCCTCTACAGTTGTTCTTACTATCTCCGAAAATAATCTGGATCCAGAATCTAAGTCAGTAGAAGAGTGCTTGAAGCACTCGGACTAGGTGAGATGGAAAGTGGCAATTGAGGCTGAGCTGAACTCGCTAAAGTATTTTGAACCTGTAGTCCATATATCCCTGTAGGATATAAAAGGGTCTTCGTAATAAAAATAAATGAGAATTGTAAGGTGGTGAGATATTAAGCGAGATTCATAGCTCAATGGGTTCACGCAGAGACTCATCATCGATTTAGATGTAAAATATTCTCCTCTTAGTGATTGTATTACGTTCCGCAAGTTAATACCTATGGCAGAAACTATGAATTTATATATGCAGTATATGTACGTCATGACCACATTTTTATATGTATCATTAGACGCTAATATTTTTATATGAAAGTCCCTGATGGACTTAAAATTCCTGAATTGAGAGAAAACGAGAATCGCAACATGTATAGCATTAAATTATAAAGGTCGTTATACGACTTGAAACAGTCGGGTAGAATGTGGTATAACCGACTGAGTGAGTTCCTCCTGAAGAGGAGATATGCAAATAATGATGTCTACCCTTGTGTGTTTATAAAGAAATTCGAAAATGGCTTCTATATTATATCAGTCTATATTGATGATATAAATATTATTGGAACACACAAGATGCTTATAGAAGCTAGCTTATGCCTAAAGACGGAGTTTGAAATAAAAGACTTGGGAAAAACCAAGTTTTGTCTGGGCCTACAGATCGAGCATTTTCCCAGAAAGAATTTTTCTATACCAGTCAACCTACATAAAAAAAGGTTTTGGAAAGATTTTATATGGATAAATCTCATCCACTTAGCACACCAATGGTCGTCCGGTCCCTCGAAGTGGATAAAGACCCATTTAGACCTAAAGAAGATAATGAAGAAATGTTAGGGCCAGAAGTTCCCTATCTGAGCGCCATTGGAGCACTTCTTTATCTTGCAAATTGCACCAGGCCTGATATTGCATTTGCGGTGAACTTGCTAGCAAGGTATAGTGCTTCTCCTACAAGGAGACAATGGAATGGTGTTATACATATCCTTCGCTATCTTCAAGGTACAAAAGATCTTGGACTATTCTATAAAAGAAACCAAGATATGACATTAGTGGGCTATTAGGATGTTGGCTACATGTCTGATCCCCATAACGCCAGATCCCAGACTGGTTATGTTTTTCTCTGTGACGGTACTGTCATTTCTTAGAGGTCTGTTAAGCAGACCATGGTGACTACTTCTTCTAACCACTCAAAGATTATCATTTTATATGAGGCCTCATGAGAATGTGTATGATTAAGATCGTTGATCGTTGATACGACATATTTGTGGCTCGTGCGGTCTAGCGAAAGATGATATTATCCCAACTATCCTTTATAAGGACAATGCAGCTTGTGTTGCACAAATGAGCAGTGGATATATAAAAGGAACCATGACAAAACATATTACGCCAAAATTCTTTTATCCACATGAGCTCCAAAAGAATGACGTAATCACCATCGAAAAAGTTCGCTCAAGTGACAATATTGCAATTTTGTTCACTAAATCTCTGCCTACATCAACTTATGAGAAATATGTTCACAATATTGGTATGCGCAGACTTGGAAGACTATCGTCTTAATGGGGAGCAAATTCTTAAAGAACAATACTGAAGATTGGGCCCTGAAGGTCTATCATCATATTTTGCCCCTTTTCGCTAAGTTTTGTCCCACAGGGTTTTTCTTAGCATAGACTCAGAAGATTGTCATCATCAGGGGGAGCGAATTTTCAATGCAATCCCGAAGATTGTGCTTTGAAGGACTATAGTTGTACTCTTTTTTCCTTTTGCTAAGTTTTGTCCCACAGGGTTTTCTTAGCTAAAGGTTTTTAATGAGTCAACTAATGCAACACAAGTTTGGATCCCGAAGATCATAGTCGTACTCTTTTTTTTCTTTACTAAGTTTTTGTGCTACATGGTTTTTCTTATCGAAAGGTTTGTAACGAGACAACTGATGTAACAGAAATAATGTATGTATGTCATATACTCTTTTCCTCGACTAGTTTTTTTCCTACTGGGTTTTTTTTTCTAGCGAGGTTTTTAACAAGGCATTGACATTTCGAAGTAATGTCCAAGGGGAAGTGTTGAAATCTAAAAGACATTTTGTTGATATCTAAAAGACAAAATGTATGTGGACATTACTTTGTATGTGGACTATTAACTTGATATCCTTTTGTCTTCCATCATGTATCTATAAATTGTACGATGTATGGAAATGGAATAGATGAATAATATTACAATTTCTCTTCTTCTCTTGTCTCTTGTCTCTTGTCTCTTGTTTCATTTCTTTAGTATATTACAACACATTATCAGCACGAAAGCTCTAGCTAGTCGGTTCGTACTCGTTAGGAAGGCTGTCAACTGTCAGCTCTGCAGTGGTATGTATTTTGATGAAATTTCCATTTGTGATTTTTGTTCACACCTATATCAAAAGGCTGTTCAAACTGGAATTTTTTCGTACTTGCCTAGTATTCTTGCTTGTTTTATTAAGTGCTGTTGTTTATCATATGTGTGTTATTTGTGACTAGCTGCAAGGTCATGCCGACATACATGTGTGTTGGTTTCAAATAAAATTGGATATTTATATGCATGTGAATGTCTCAGGAATCCAAGTATATGAAAGACTCGATGATCCATTATACTTTTGTTTGAATCCTTCAAGGTCCAAATTTTGCTGATTAATTAAAATATTACAATTTCTCTTCTTCTCTTGTCTCTTGTCTCTTGTCTCTTGTTTCATTTCTTTAGTATATTACAATATATTTCATGATTATAAAAATTTATCCCATGTTATTTTATCAAAATATCGCGCTTCACAAAATTGTTTCTATTTATCCCACCAAAATATTCCACTAGTGAAAAATTATTACACTTTAACAATTATCTCATTTTGCATGAAAATGTCCTAATTGACTAACACCTAGGGGTGTTATCGGAGCGGATACGGTTCGGATATGACGTTTACCGTATTCATATCCATTTTTTATAAACGTAAACAGATACGGATACGGATCACCTTCGGTAAGAAAAAAACTTAACCGTATCCGTATTTATCGGAAACGGATACGGTTCGGATATTTGAGAATCGGATCGGATATGATCACGAATATAAATGGATATTCGACATAAATCTATTAGACATATAATCTTCATCCAAAACCATCAGTTAAAAACTAAAATTGAGCACAAATTTATTAAACATATAATCTTCATCCAAAATCTTTAGTAGCACAACCCAACTAAAACAATAGTGTCAGGAATTGTAACCAAACTACAACAATCATTTCCAGAATTTCAAAGGTCTATGAATTGAAAATTGAAGACAAAAAACTTCAGACATGATCTTTTTTATATTTCTTCTCTAACTCAGAAATTTATGGTCGTCAGCGATCAAGTCTTGGAGTTTCTATGTCTTGGTGACTAATTTTATTTGATATTTGACTGTAGACCAGGCCAACATGGATTAATTGTTTACTTCTATGATCAGATTGATTTGGTGACTAATTTGGTGACTAATTTGTTTTGGTGACTAATTGTGTACTTCTATGATCAGATTGCTTTGGTATAAATAATAATAATAATAACAAATTGATTTGGTGACTAATTTGATTTGATATTTGACTTTTTCAGTATAAATAATAATAATAATAATAAAGTTGAATTGTTTACTTCTATGATCAGATATTTATGGAAGAATGACTCATAATCTTGTTGCTTTGGTTTACTTAAAAGTAGTTAACTCGATTTCCCAGATATTGATCAGAAAACTAGAGTAAGTAATTATTAAGAAAAATGAAGGAAAAAAAATAATTCTCTTATCACTTCTTTTGCTGCTACTCAGCATTTAATTTACTAATCCATACGATTTCAACACCAATCGTCTCCATCCTCTTTCCTCACAAAGTCTGCACATGACATTGCTTTTAGAACCTCCAACATAAGCATGTGAAACTATACTATAATCTGCACCAAAAAAAAAAAAGAAAAGAAAAAAAACCATATCACAGCATCTCAGATCTCTGTGCCTACAAGAAATCACTCGAACACTGTAAACTCCATAAGAATACTACAAGTAATAAACATCAAACGCTAATGAGGGCGGAGGCAGCCTGAGGTTGAGGGCGGAGGCGGCCTGAGGTTGAGGGAGGCGGCCTGAGGTTGAGGGCGGAGGCGGCCTGAGGGTGAGGGAGGTGGAATGAGGTTGAGGGAGGCGGCCTGAGGTTGAGGGCTGGAGTGGACTGGAGAATCGTGGAGAACTGGAGATGGAGAGTGGAGCACTGGAGGCGGACTGAGGGTGAGGGCTTAGGGTTTTTTTTCCTTTTTACTTTTGGTTTTGGGTTAGCGAGTTTGTAACTATAAATTTGGGACCCGATTACCCGAATCATTATTACATTGCGGATATCCATATCCGCAACCCTTATATCCGTACCCGAATCCGTATACGAAAAAACCCGAAACCGGATCCGTATCCGAAACCGTATCCGTTCGGTTTCAAAATTAGCTTACCATATCCGCATCCATTCGGATACGGATGCGGATTGGTTTCGGATATATCCGAACCGTTTGGCACCCCTACTAACACCCCCTTATAAAAGAATTTTGCTGAAAGAATTCATATTTCAATTTTTGTACATATTGATGATAGTAGTAGTTTAGATAGTTATTGTTGCTCGAAAGGTATGGTCGAATTTGAGTTGATCTACCACCAATATGTGTTGTCGCTATGTTTCGCTAATGAGCAATTAATATTATTTTTCCGCGCCATATATTTTGATGATAATACTTGATTCAGGTTTCCTTATTAGTATGATTAAAAGTTAACCATACATGACCCGTCCATTTTTATAATGCATGATGATTCATCCAGCTTTATAATGCATGATTCGTCCATTTTTATAATACAGTTCATTAAAATTGATCTACATCATTAAGAAACAAAAAGCATTTAGCTATTGTATTTTTTATTTCCCTCAAATGTTTTATGTTTTTATAATTATTATCCAAAACTTCATATATTCTAATTTATTATTCAATTGTAACCATCTTAAAATTATACCTTTCTCTACTCAACATCAATTAAAAATTAAGACATGAGGATATGATTATTATTTGGCTTCCTTTTTATGTATCTCTCTCTTTTCTCCTTCAAGAAGCTCATAAAGGTTTACTATAAGCCCTCTTTTTTATAAAGAAAATCATATATATTTTTCCTTATTCCTTTACAGTTTTCTTTCTACACGATATGTAATATATAGAACACTATTTGTTAGTAAAATAAGGAATGAGACAAAAATTATGGGGCATGAAATTCCTTAAAGAAAATTTGCCCCACTTGATAATTGAACTTTACTTTAGGTTAATGCAAATTATCCTCATAGGATACAACGGAAATTTGAAAATTCCAGAATGTAAATCTGAAAATTTTCACCTATCCTCTAAAACAAGTTTGTAGGCCTTTTTTTTAGAGAAACAATTTTGAGAAAGTAGTGATATGATGTCTAAAATCATAGGCTATTTATAGGTTTGAAAAAGTGTCTCCAGCAGTCATAAATTTTTTCAAAACACCCCATGAAAATATCAGTTATTTTCAACAATCAAAAAACAACCATAGCTTGATCCATGCAGGATTGATCTATAAACTCTCAAAATCTATGTATCACCTGCATGTACCTATAGATGAATTCAGTTCAATTTCATTTTTTACATCTAAGACTTTTCATGGTTTCGTTGCACATTTTTATAAGTAAAACTACTCACTAATATATATTGTTGGTTTTATTAGTTGTTTAGACAGGAAGACTCCTTACTTTGTGTTATGCTTTTCGACTTTCATTGATATTTTTTGTTCATTTCTGCACTTTCTATATTTCCTGATGACTGAATTATAAATGTGGTTGAATTTCTGGGCTGAAATACAATTTCTGGGTTTTGTCATGGAGTACACTGTAAATTACAGGGGTATACTATAATTTCTGTGACTTCTAGATTTTTTGGGGACTGGATTGTAATTTTGGACTAAATTGTAAGAATTCCTGGATTGAATTTTGTACTGAATTACAAGAAAACTGGGCTGAGTCATATGCATTCTGATGTATCTTTTGTCCTTAGAATGACCAGGGAACAAACAAAAACATGGAAGCGAAAAAAATTATATGTCAACCTCTTCAAAACAGGAGATCATTTGAGGTAAGTTTAGTTGAGTTTTTATTGATATTTTAAAGTATATATTCAAGTGACTGAATCTTGCAATGAATATAATCTTATTTTTATATTTTTATCTAAATTTATGCAGGAAAATTGATGGTGGCTGAAACAGGTTAATCCATGCGTGCTTTTCACTTACTATGAGATTAGCTCTATCCAAATAATTTACAAATTATGTATACCAATTTAGACCTTTAAACAGAAGACACTTTTTGTTTTAATGAAAGAGGAATTTTAGTTATGTACTTTGGACAAAAGAAAAAACTTGTACTAAAGTTATTGTAATGAACCAATGAATTGTTCCTTATGTTTGGTTGTTTGCTACCAACATCATTTGGAGTTTTATTTATTTGTTTGTCACATGAGCAGGTATAAATCATGGAGTTTTCATTTTGTTTTGTTCTTTTTTAATTTTGAAATTGCATGTCAAAAAATGTGTGATATATCTGGATGATTTGCTTTTGCACGGTCAAAATTGATAACCGTCCTCTTTGCTATATATACCCGTTCCTATATCTTTATATCTAAAAACTGTCCCCATTGCTAAAAACCGGTCCCATTGCTAACCGTCTCCTTTGGTATAAAAATCATCAGCATAGATCACAAACAAAAACGTTCCCATAGACAACAAAACCGTCCTCCTAGATCAAACTCGAAACTGTCCCCCTTGGTGCGTAACTGTCACGATAGCTTAAAAATATAGTCATTCCCGTTGCCAAATAACTGTTACCATCTTCAAAAACATGAACCATCCTAATAGTTAAACCGTCCCCAAATGTTATAAACGACAACAATTTAAGAAACACGCTACTTGGATCATGAACTGTCGTGTTAGACCAAATACTACAACAGCAAAGGTATCATATGAGTAACCGTTCACGTAGGCCAATGAGGACGATTTTATTGTCTAGCGAGATGGTTATAAACCATCCCCATAGACCCATTATGTGGTAGTGATATTCCAACAGTCAACTTCTAACAATAGTTTGTCTGCAAAATAAAAATAATAATAACAAATAAAATGATATTATATCATACTCCCTTTAAAAACTACGAGTTCAGGAAAATCTTTCCATCGTGAATATTACCATCCACTATTTTGAATATTTTATTTAAATCTTAACATATCATAATCATAGTTATTTCTTATCCTAATCCAATGTGAACTACCTACAGCTAAATAATTTTTTAAAAAAAGTTTATAATTGCACAAAATGCCCTCAGAACTTTAAAATTACCACAAAACGTCTTGATATCTTAAAACTTAAAATAATTTTTTTTTTTGAAAATTAACAGTAGCCTTCAAAGAATTTAGAGTCGGCAATTAACATCCTCAACGTTATAAAAACTATAGAAACACCCTCAAACGTTCAAATGATAAAAAAAACACCTTAAAATTCTAAAATTTCAAAACTTACAAATAATAAAGATGAATTCAAGGGATTACCATCAGACGCCTAAAAATTTAAAATTTGTAAAAAAATAACCTCAAAATTTTAAAAATTACAAAAACTCCTTCTAAAGTTAAAAATCACAAAAAAACCTAAATTTCAAAACCTATAACCGACACATATCAAATCTAAAAAAAATTTAGTAGAGCACTAAAAATTTAAATTTTATAAAAAATAATCCTAAGGTTTAATAATTGCAATAACACTCTCAAAATTTCAGAATTGTAAGAAATATGCTGATATTCTCAAACTACCCACCAACACAATAAACATGAAAATTACAAGCATTCAACTTAAATTTTAAAAAAATACTGTCAAAATTTTAAAATTTACAAAACACACCTTCAAAAGTTCAAAATCACAAAAAATGACTAAAATTTCAAAACTTAGTAAAGAAAATAGTAGATGTTCAATATTCTTTTATTAAGATAAATAAATTTAACTTTTTATTTAAGGTTTACTATCCCTTTTCAACATCTAAATATGGTCTAATTTTATTAAAAAAGATAAATGTGGAGAAGGATTGATGTTAATTGATACGGGTGTATCTTCTTCCTTACTTCGGGAGCTTAGCGATCCTCATGAGAGCTTAAAGATAGATGATTCTCATGGTAGCTTAGGAATAGAAGCATAGACGGAGTCGTCAGTAGCGGGGAAAATGGTCAAAAGCAGGAAAACAGTATAAATTTGGAAGCTGGCGAAGCAGCTCTGGCCGGTCGACCGACGAGCTAGCACCGGTCGACCGATAAAGCTATATCGGTCGACCGAACAACTATCCCTAGTCGACTGAAAACCTGCACCTTTAGGGTCCAAAAACATGTGTTCTGGACGGTCAACCAACGCACTATGATCGGTCGATTGATGAGCCTAGATCGGTCGACCGATTAATGTATGTCGGTCGACCGACAGGTTTTCATGGGCCTATTAAATTTTGTTTTGAGACGAATTCTAGTTGGGTTTGACTTGGGCATTTATCACTTTACCACCCATGTTGTTTGACCTATAAATAGAGATTGTTTAGGGTTTCTAAACATCAGATTGATAGAAGAGAGATTCTAATCAAGAGATTAGGATTTAGAGAGAATAGAGAGATTGTTCTTTATTATAGAGAGATTGTGAGAGAGATTTTGTAATATTCTATTCTTCATAATCTAGAGAATGTATTTTCCTTTGCCAATTGAATTGTCGTATGTGTTTTGTTATTTTCTTCTAAAACCCACCTTTGATAATTCCACATCAAAGGTGCTCGCACGGCGACTCGTATCAAGTTGGTATCAGAGCCTTCAAATACTGTGAAGGGGGTGTCCTATGCATGGTCCTTACTCGATCGCAATACAAGAAGCTAGGCGAGATACTTGTCCAGAAATCAAGGAAGAAGAAGATGGAGGATAACGATAACTCAGCGATGCTTGATGCATTGGAGAAACATATCGAAAACTCTTACACAACTCGTCGATCTTATCCATGGAGGGGACAAAAAGGGGGAATCTTCTTCAAAGTCTAAGAAGAAACCTATAGAGTTCGATGGGGAGTGTAAACATTTAGATTCTGATGAGGAGGTTGAGGCCGTCAGGGCTGTTTCACATCAATGGGGTAAGGGTCCTTACCAAAATCTGAAGATTGATTTCAGAGTAGAGATTCATGTTTATGATGGGAGTGTTAATGTCAAAAGGCTTAATGATTGGATCGAGCGTATGTAGACTTATTTTACTATTTATGGCTATTCGTCAAAAGAGAAGATTGTTTTTGCGACATTGAAGCTTTTAGGGCATGTATTGACGTGTCACGTGGTGGAAATCCTATTGCAAGCAGGAGGAGAAAGCGGTGTCGTGGAATAAGTTCAATGAGTTGCTAAGAAAGTAGTTCTACCCGATGGGATTCCTTGAAGAGCGTTGGTACAAGTGGTACGACTTGCACCAAAGATTCAATCAAACTGTTCAAGAATACACGACTGAGTGTCAACAACAAGCGATGATCTTCAACCTTGCGACGGAGGAGTACTCAGTTTTTATGACATATATGGCGGGTTTGAACGAATACATCCAGAAAGAGATGAAGCTATTCGCGGTTGAGTCAATTGTAGAGGCGAGCGTGAAGGCTATTGCTATTGAAGGCAAATAGAAGAAGAGCAACGAGACGAAGGGAGAAGCCAAGTAAGCTGGAGACGAGTCTAGTGGTTCCCAACCTAAGAAGGAAAAGAAGAAGGAAGATCCATGGAAAGCTGGACTGATTTATAGTCATTGTGAGAAGACAATACATGTTACTGATCGGTGCTAGGAGAAGTATCCTCATCTCAAACCGAAGGGGTTGAAGAAGAAGGAGGAGAAAAAGGCATATGTGATAACATAATGTCCGAAAGAAGTCCTAGGGATGACAGAGCCTAATAATAATCTTAACCTTATGGCAAGGAAGCAGGCCGCAAAGGAGGACAAAGATCCCAGAGAGCAGCTCTTTGTTCTTAAGTTGCAAGTGAAGACCAGTTTGGTAGATGCCATAGTTGATCCATGCAGTGAGAAGAATTTGATATCTGGGGCCTTGGTTCAGAAGCTGGGTCTGAAGATGGTCAAGCATCCAAATTCATATCCATTAAAGTGGATTCAGAAGGAGACGGGGCTGAGTGTAGTTAATCAATGCTCTTTCAGATTTGCACTACATGAGTCGTATATTGACGAGGTCACATGCGACGTAGTTCCATTGGATGTTTATTAGAATATACCGGGCAATCCATATTTGTAGGATAGATACACAATCTATGAAAAGCGGGCTCAGAAGTACACATTCACCAAAGACGGTGAGAAGTTCATATTTGGTTCGGCATCTCTTCCAAAGGAGACAAACTTAGTGACATTGAACCGAGCGAAGAGGCTAGTGAATACAAGCAAAAAGTTTGTCTCGCTATTCATTAGGCCTTATGAAGAGCCATTGAAAAAGGATTACAATTTGGAGCGAAAGGTAACTATGACGAGACGGGGGACGAAGGAGTCGGTTCTGATTGGACTTCAAGGTCAGGCTCCTAGCAAAGCCAGATGGTTCAACAGGGAAGGATGAGCTCAAGAGTTTCCTCAACTGAAGTTCTAACTTGAACGGGACTTCAAGTTCCTGATGCGGCATAAACATATACCAAAAATTACAATTGCACAGTTAATCAAGTTATAGTATAAAAAGTTATCGATCCCACGAGGAAGGTGTTTGTAAGAGAAAATTAAAATCGGTTCTTATGTTTTGTGCGTGATAATTAGGAGTGATGAGTGAATGTGGTTGTGGAGAGATAGAGATAGTGGAAGTGATAGTGTGTAAATCGGCACGAAATGTAAGTGAGGGTGAATGTGACAAAGAATGAATGATTTTCATAAGGAAAGATGAATAAAATCAAGAATAAAAAAGGAGAATTAAGAATTAAAAAAATTCAAGAAATTAAAGATGGCAAATTCAATTAAATATATAGGTAATCTAGAATTAAATCTACTTCTTAGAAAATGATGATTCCCTAGAGGGTTCTAGCCTAAAGGAGAATTAAAGAAAATAAAAATGAACAAAAAGAAAAACTAAACCCAAGAGGGTTCTAGGCTTAAGATGAATAGTACAAGAAAATAAAATGATAATTATTTAGAGGGTTCTAACCTCAAGGCGAATCAAAAAAAATAAAAATAAACAAAAAGAAAAACTAAACCCAAGAGGGTTCTAGCCTCAAGGTGAATAGTACAAGAAATTAAAATCTAACTACAAAAGAAATTATAAAATCTAAACTATAAAATAAATTACAAGAATTAAATGTAAGAAAATAAATATAATATATAAGCATGAAATAAATCTAAGGTAAGAGGGTTCTAGCCTCTTGGCTATTTAACAAGAAAAT